GCGTACATTTTTCGTTCAGTATTAACAAGAAGTAGAGCCACGGTGGTCTAGCGGTTAGAACGCTGGCCTTGTAATCCTGGGGTCTCGGGTTCGATTCCCGGCGGTGCCCGAATTTATAACTTGTGTTGGGCAAGGCCGTGGTCTAGGCAACCCGGAGTTTTCCTCCGGGGCATCCCAATAATTACTCCATTCACACACAGAAGAAGGCCATGGCAAACCACTTCTGGATCATCTGCCAAGAACGTATATGAACAGGTCCCAGTCCGAGAAAAGGATGGAAGGATCCTGTTCATATGGACCTGTCGTCAGACAGAACACCAAATAATAATAAATTAACAAGAAACCTCATATTTTATAACATAAAAAGTTTAGCTTGTTCCACTTCTGCTCCTAGGAGTTTTATGTTCCATTATGCTTTTTCAGATTCATAATAAGTCACATGAAGGAGAAAAGTGCTTCAAGTGTGACTTATGTCCGTATGCTTCCATATCTCAGAGACATCTGGAGTCTCACATGTTGATACATACCGATCAGAAACCATATCAGTGCGATCAGTGCGATCAATCATTCCGCCAGAAGCAGCTGCTGCGACGACATCAGAATTTGTACCATAATCCCAACTATGTACCACCACCACCAAGAGAAAAGACTCATGAATGTCCAGAATGTGGGAGAGCGTTCCGTCACAAGGGGAACCTCATACGGCACATGGCAATTCATGATCCTGAGTCCTCGGCGCAAGAGAAAGCCCTTGCGCTGAAACTTGGACGTCAGAAAAAGATTCAGGTGAGTTTGAGAATGTAGCTGATTTGATTTCTGAAATTAATTAAATTATCTGTAGAAATTTTTGAAGGAATTATATTTGTAATATTCATTAATATTGTGATATTTTAAGACCTTTATACCTTGGGTTCTTTGGAGTGCAGCACGGATTCTATGAAAGTCTTAATAAAGAGGCATTTTTCAAATGAAAGCCGAAACTTGCTTCTGTGAGTAGTGTCAGACAGCAAAATTGTCTGGAGTCAGGGGCCCTATCATCGGTGAGATGTATGAGTTCTTATGATTTTCTTAAAGGGAAATTTGCATTTTCTTTGAATATTTTCTAATTTATTATAATCTGTCTGTGAAAGATTATTCCACACGACCGAGGCATACTCAAGCTTTGACCTAATTAAAGCATTATATAAAACAACAAGGCTGTCTAAAGAGGAGAAATTATAAGTAATAAAACGAATAAGCCCTAAGGTCCTGAGAATGAACACAATTTACATGACAGTGAAAATAAAGTTTATTGTCTAACAAATACTTAATCGCTGTGAGGGTACGCGGATGAGGGGTTAATTTTAACGCCGATTCTGTGTCGTTTTTAGATTATTGATGGGCAGCAAGTAGAAGTAATGGCAGGAGAGGAAGATGACGATGATGACGATGACACTGATGGTGAAATGATGGCCGTAGAGGGGCAAGATGGGCAGCAATACGTTGTGTTAGAAGTCATTCAGCTACAGGTAAAGTGCGATGTCACCGACAGATTATTGGTAATTTGTAATAAGTGCAGGTATCCGCTTCTGGTGTAAACTTGCAACTACAAAACCTAACCTAACCTTCGATCTATACTAGAAAAAGTTATTGTTCTGTTATGTCACTTCTAGTAGCTTTATGTTGAAATGTAAAGTCTTCTGATGTGTGAGTACTTATTAGAGTGTGGTCTGTTTTCTGCTTTTAGGATGGCGATGGTGGTGAGCAAGCAGTCGCTGTTGTGACTGGCGATACGTCACACAACAGTATGGCGCAAGCTGTAGCACTGCACAGTGGTAAGAGGGCATCTTAGCAGGCAGAACAGTAATCATTATTATTCAAAATCAATTTGTTTCTTATGCTACCAGGTCTTACAGATTAGGCAGAAACAAATTTTATTTTTTTTAAGAAATTTTCTTGTCAAGTCTTAATTATGTTAAATGTCCTTGTAATTTTAAATAATACTTGTTTTGCATGAGGAAGCAAAGGTTTAAATGTGGTAGCTGTCAGAATACTTAAATATGAGTTTCTAGCATGTAGTATATGCTACAAGCCCGTGGTCAAGTTCTCCGCCCCTTTCGCATTGGGGTGAGACTGTCTCCGCGTATCTTTGGCTGGTAACGCCCATTGTCTGTCCCCAGCTTTATATTAAAAAGTGATGTCGAGATTATAGCCCCCTAGAGAAACGTTGAATGCCGACATCGCCTTGTAAGTCGGCGGACGCAAACTCGTATAGGGATTAAATGACTCGGTCACCTTAAATGAAGCTTCGTATGAAGAGAAAATGTGCGTAATGCTAAGCACACATTTTGTGTTAAGTCGCATTGTTCAGCCTGTTTGTCGCCATCTTTCTTTGAAATTAATTAAATCTCTTTCTCAGATCTTACAGATGACGACGAAGAAGATGATGACGACGATGTTGTCATTGAAACGCTGAGGCGCAGCAGAAAACTGTCTAGGAAAGATGCCTTGGCTATAAGGAAGAGGATAGAAACTGAGAAGGATATGCAGAATTGTTTTGGGTTTGATGTAAGTACTTCGCTAATTGAGCATCAAGTATCGGACATTTTAGATAGTTGAAAATCTCCAAACGTTTTTAGTATTCTGATATAGCGAGTAGTTAAACCTTTCCAAGTACAGGGCATCTTGTTTATCTTTAGTCTGGATACAAAGATCCACTTTCCCTTTTTAATTCCCTGAACGGTCAGTTGAGTGTCGTTCATTTCTTTACTGACTTAAAAATGGCTGAGCTGAGACGTAAGAGCTGCAGAGTTACTGAAAGTGAACATATTAAATTATAAAGAATTGATCATGAATGTCAGACCTCAAGAACAGTTCAACGCCCTTAAATGTTAGATTTTTTTAGATTTGAGTAATTTTATATTTTACGCGTGGGCTCGTGCAGGAAGTTTGCGCTCCTGCTGTGCTACTGTTATGTGCAGATGCAAGACGTCGGCCATGACATCGAATCATAACGGAATGTTGTTAATACTTTTCTAGGATGGAGAAGAGGATTTAGACGACGATCCTACAAAAACAACAATCCAGCTGCTGGAAGCCATCCACTAGTAGAAAAGTCGGTCAGATTGGGGTCTCCCTCTGTATATTATTAGTTCATGGCCGTGGTTGTGCAGTTATGTTGGTGAACTTGGTCAGAATTGTGTAGCCAACTTAGAGCAGTTATAAACTATCCCATGGTGTCACTCTGTGAGTGGTGCAGTGTTGCGGATTTTTTTTTTGTGTGTGTGTGAGTACTAAATCATCAGTTTTATAATGAAATGAATGATGATTCAGACTCAGTTTTTCTACCTTCATTAAAATCTTTCTTTGACTTGGTGTTTCATGCCAACCGAGGGAAAGTGGCGGGCTTCATTCCGATGCCTCATATTGAAGAACTGTACAAAGTATATAGTTCACTTCAAACATTCTGGAAGTACAAGGACACCTAAGCACGCCCTAATGTGTATTAGAATGTACATTGCACATTGACTCTGTTGTTGACGATTGTAGAAAGGCTTTTAATGTAGCTAAGTCGAACTTGTCCTGAAGAACGTTCAACAGACGAACAGAATATGATTATTTTTAGTTTCTTATATTATAGGTTTCAGGTGCACTTCCTTCTGTTTAAAGTTTGTTACATGTTCAAGTTGTCGCAGACTAAAATTTTTATAGTGAACGGTTAATTATAGGACGTAAAAGTTGCTAATGATAAGTGTGGTGTGCGATCAAATGTGTTTATTATGGTATTTAAATATGCTTCATTGCTGTAGGGTTTTTTCCTCACTCCTTAATTTTGGGTTAATAAAAACATTTGCGGTTTTGTCAGAGCAGATTTAGAAACTACCGAAAGTGTATAATCGTACAGAACGATGTTCAAATGTATTTCTGATTTGATGAAGGGATCTGTTTCTTTTCGAAGTGGAAATAATTATTTACAGAATACAACAAGCTCGTCGTTTCGATACATTATTATTAAACTTGCGCGTTTCCCGACTGTTCTACGTCACAACATTCTGCTCAGTGTGCTTTTCATCATGTTATAAATAGCATGGAATCATAATTTCACCGATGCAAATCATATTTTAATATAATTTATTATCAGCATAAGTTAATAGCCACTTCATGTCGCAGGTATCTCGAATGCTTGGTTTCAAATTGGTAACATTTTGATTTTGTGGTTGTTCTTTCTTATTTGTAGACGACCCTTTGAAAGTAACGTGTAATATGTGGGATTTGAGGTTTTGACAGAGATGAGTCTGAAGATTGCCGTCTTCTGGGTCACACTGCCTCTGTCATCATGGTGATGGATGTGATGACGGAGGCAGTATGACCTCTGAAACTTTGGTGGAAGTCTAAAAGAATACACGA